TTCTCTAGGAAATGATGTAGTTATGAGTTGTTTATGGTCAATATTCATATGTAGCAACTAAAGCAGTGTTTCTCAGCCTTCCTGATGCTGTGAACCCTTAATACAATTCCTCATGATGAAATGACCCACAACCATAAATTATTCCATTGCAACTTCATAATAGTCATTTTGTTACTGTTATGAATTGTAATGTAAATGTCTATGTTTTCCAATGGTCTTAAGTGACTTCTTTAAGGGTCATTCAACCCACATAGGAGTCACGATACACATGCTGAGAACCACTGAGCTAGAGACAGGTCTAGTATTTGAGATATTTTAATGTCAGGTAGAGTTTGAGAATTAAAACATAAATTAAAACATAAGACTTCTTATGATATGATGTTGTTTTAAATAGACCACCTGGAAAGCAAATAGAAGAGACCATTTCATCTCTTGAACAAATTATGCCTGAAGCCACCCATCAAGTATTACAGTTAGGTATTGTTTCATTTTATTTGATGATTTAATTTTAACCATTTGAACTTAGAAAGTTTCAGTACCAAGTCTGGCAGATTTATTAAAATAAAAGTAAGTATAGAAATATCTACAGAATATATACTAAGATGTCAAAATGTATACCAATGAGCAGTGATGGGGAAGTCCTGTGTATATGTCAATAAAGCACTGTTGGCCAATAGGGAAGCAAGATAGGTGGGACTAGGAGTCCAGGAGGACTCTGGGTAGGAGAAACACAGAGAGTCAAGATGTAGCCCACTAGAGAAGTAAGATGTCCAGAACTTTTCTCCGGTAAGATAAATACTTAGATTAACAATTATGGGATAAATACTTAAGTCAGAGCTAGCCAGTAAGAAACAAGCAAGGCCAACAGCTTCATAATTAATACAGTGTCTTGTGTGTTATTTGGGGAGTACAATGAGGCAAAGCCCAGGGAAAAAACCAAATCAGCTGACAAGAAAAAGGCTTCACTCTATAGAGCAGTATGAAATTTATAATTTTCAACTTGATCTGGATGGCTTCAGGCATGATTTGTTCAAGAGATGAAATGGTCTCTTCTATTTGCTTTCCAAGTGATCTATTTAAAAACATCATCATATTATAAGGAGAATTCTACTAAAAATAGCATAGTATTAGGAATAAATTATTCCCAGAGGAAATAATGTGAGAAAAAAGGAAAACTGGGTGGACACAACCAGGAAAATTTGGGAAAATAAAATGGGAGACAGGTGTAAACTATCCTGACATGGAAGCTTAGTGTGAAGAAAAATATTTTTGAAATAATTGGAAATATATCTCTAGATCAAATAAAAACCCCAGAAGACACATCTAAGTGTGTACAAGAAGCATGTGTACAGTGAAGGTGGTGTTTTGCATCTTTCAGGGAAGAAATATTTATTCAACCTTTGATGGTTGATGGGGTTAACACTTTGGGGAGAGAAGTTTGAAGTGTGTCTCATGACTGTAAAAGCAGTTAAAGTGTATCCAGGAACAAAACATTAGAATAAAATATTTCACTTTTCACAAGAAATGTTTTAATCTTTAAAATTTTATTTGTTTATTCATTTATTTTACATCCCATCAACATTTTCCCTACTTCCTCTCCTCCCATTTCTTCCCCCACATCCTGCCAACCCCCCTTAATCTCATCCTCTGTTCTATTTAGAAACAGGTAGGCTACATAGCCTGGAGGATTTTGTGCTCCCAACTTCTGCCCAACAAAGCCCTGGAGACATGGGGGCAGTCTCCCCACACCCAAACCATCCAGCACCACATCTGCCTCCATTGTATCCTTGGCCCCACCCCCACCGAGAGAGGTGAGTGCCTGGGCCAACCCTCTTCACCCCTGCTGGAGACCTATAACATCTATGTCCTAATCACATGGGGCACATTACACTTACCATCAACACACACCAAAGCCCCAGAGACTTGTGGGCTGCACCCCCAGACCCCAAAACATCTACCACAGCATCTACCACTTTTGTAGCCTTAACCCCACCTCCAAACGGCAGAGGTGAATGTGTGGGCCATCCATCCCCCACCAGGAGGCCCCTAACATCTAGGTCCTAATGGCCTGGGGTACTTTGCACTCCCCATCCCTACCAACCAAAACCCCAGAGACCTGGAGGCTGCATCCCCATACCCAAAATCATCCAGCACTTGATCCCACTCTCACCAGGAAAGGAAGAATGACCACATAAGCCAAAACCCACTTAGCCCAATTGGAGGAAAAGAGACCTCCTGAATCACAGGTTCCACCTGCATCCACTGGAGGAAGAGATGGGTAAATGACAGTATAAGAAGACATTCAAGCTGGGCAGTGGTGGTACATGCCATTAATCCCAACACTGAGGAGGCAGAGTGTAAAGGGAAGCCTTCCCTCCAGCCTGGTTCCAGAGCCGAATCAGTCCCAAATAACACACAGGAGGCTATATTAATTATGAAGCTGTTGGCCTTGTTTGTTTCTTACTGGCTAGCTCTGACTTAAGTATTTATCCCATAATTGTTAATCTAAGTATTTCTCTTACTGGAGAAATTTCCAGGCTTCCTACCCCATGGCAGTTACATCTTGACTTCCTGTGTTTCTCCTACCCAGAGTCCTCCTTGACTCCTAGTCTCACCTATCTTACTTCCCTATTGGCCAACAGTGCTTTATTGACATGTACACAGGACTTCCCCCATCAGCAGAGGAAGGTAGATCTCTGTGACTTCAAGACCTACCAGATCTAAAGAGCAAGTTCTAGGACAGGCTCCAAAGCTAAAGAGAAACCCTGTCTTGAAAAACAAAGCAAAAAAGAACACATTCAACAACATAAAGAGTAATATGACACCACCAGAGACTAGGGGTTCTATATCAGCAAGACCTGAATATTCCAACTCAAATGAAGCAGAAGAAAACAACCTTAAAAATAACTTTATGAAGATGATAGAGGCCCTTGAGGAGGAAATGAGAAACTTTCTTAAAGAAATGAAGGAAAAAACAACCAAAAAAATGGAAGAAATCAACAAATCCTTTTTAAAGAGCAAGGAAAGACAAAAAAGAAAAAAAAAGAACAATCAAAAAGGTGATGAAAAGAGATCAAACAGTTCAAGACTTGAAAACTGAACTAGAAGAAATAAAGAAAACACAAACTGAGTGAATGTTGGGGAAGGAAAATGTAGGTAAACAATAAGAAACTACAGATGCAAACCATAAGTAGCTGAATACAAGAAACGGAAGAGAGTATCTAAGGTGTTGAAGAAACATTAGATTCATTGACCAAAGAAAATGTTAACACCAAAGAATTCTTAGCACAGAATATACAGTAAATATGGGGTACCATGAAAAGACCAAACCTAAGAATAACATATATAGAAGAAAGTAAAGAAGTCCAGCTCAAAAGCAGAGAAAACATATTCAACAAAATCATAGAAGAAAACTTTCCTTACTTAAAGAAGGACATGTCTATAGAAGTAGAAAACACTTACAGACCATCAAATAGACTGAACCAAAAAAGTTGTCCCTTCCCCAAATAATAATCATACAGAGTAAGGAAAAATATTAAGAGCTGCAAAGGAAAATGGCCAAGTAACATAAAGGCAGATCTATCAGAATTACACCTGGCTTCTCAAGGGAAACTTTGAAAACAAGAAAGTGCCAGATAGATGTTCTACAGACACTAAGGGACCACAGATGCCAGTCCAAATTACCATACCCAGAAAAGCTTTCAGTCACTATGGAAGGAGAAAACAATATATTCCTTGACAAAACCAGATTTAACCAATACATATCCACTTATCCAGCCCTGGAGAAAGTACTGGAAGGAAAACTCCAACACAAGGAAGTTAGCTACACCCACAAAAACATAGGCAATAGATAATTCCACATTAATGGTCTCAATTCACCTACAAAAAGACCCAGGTTAACTGACTACTACCAGACAGAAAATTAACAGAGAAATAAAGGAACTAACAGAAGTTATGATTCAATTGGGTTTAGCAGACATTTATAGAACATTCCATCCAAACACAAACAAATATACCTTCTTCTCAGCACTCCATAGAATCTTCTCTAAAATCAACCACATATTGGGTAACAAAGCAAACTTCAGCAGGTAAAAAAGTGAAAGTGGAATAAACCACTGTATCTTATTGGATCGCCATGATTTAAAGTTAGAACTTAACGACAGCACAAATTGCAGAAACCCTATAAACTCATGGAAATTGAATGTCGTTCTCTCTCAATCTCTCTCTCTCTCTCTCTCTCTCTCTCTCTCTCTCTCTAACACACACAATAGCACATACACAAATAAGTGAAAATAAATAAATATTTTATTATTGTTATTATTTATTTTAAAACAACCTCTCCCTCCTGTCCTGCCATTCCACTCACCTTCTCCCCCCCCACCCTATCCACTTTTAAAATGTCATCTAAAGCTAGTAGATAATACAATTGGGTAGGATAATTCCTGCCTACCAAACATAATGTCCTATGTTTGATCCTAAGTTGCCTAAGTCTAGCAAGTAATGGAGAATTTTAATTACAGAAATCATAAGGTAGAGGAAGATCAGAAATTCAAGATCATCCTCACGTGCATAGAGAGTTTGAGATCATAGTAGACTACATAGAGCCATATCTCAAAAAGTTTTTATTTATATTCTAAATATATTCTAAATTTTTAATCTCAAATGAAAACACGGTTTTAAAGAACATAGTGATAGTGTGTTAACACTGTTTCATGCAACTTACATTGATGTGAATAAAGGATAACACAGTTTGATGAACAAATAGATGAATCAGTATATTAATGGTTTTATAGTATGTATTTAATGGAGGAAATATAATAAAACATTAATATTAATGTTCCACTCAAATCTCTTCTTTACATTTGTTCTTGCTTCTCCCTGGATCTCAACATTCTCACTTCTTATAAACCCTGTATCATTTAAATATTGGGAATTGTGTGAATAAACAATCCTAAAGTGCTGACATTAGAAAACAGATAGTTTCCCAAGGTAGGAAGAGGTTAGGCAGCCTTGACTCTATTAAGAACGTTCCTTAGAGCATCCTTCACTTCCTTGTTCCTCAGGCTGTAAATGAGTGGATTCAACATGGGAATTACTGTTGTGTAGAATACAGACACTACCCGATCCTTTTCTGAAGCCTGGCCGGATTTGTCTCTCAGGTACATGAAGATGAGGGTGCCAAAGAAGAGTGACACTGCGGTGAGGTGGGAGGCACAGGTTGAGAAGGTCTTGACGCGACCTCCTGCCGAAGGGATTCTCAGAATGGCCGCAATGATGAACAGATAGGAAACCATAATTACCACCATGCAGGCAGGGATGACAAAAATGGCAAACACAATGATCACCAATTCCTGTGGGTAGCTCTCCCCACAGGTCAGCTTTAACAGAGGAGGAAGGTCACAGAATATGAAGTCGATCTCATTGTTTCCACAAAATGAGAGGGAGAATGCTGTGCTTGTTCGCACCAAAGCACTGAGGAGACCGGCAACATAAGCCCCAGCCACAAAACTTAGGAGGGCCTTCTGTGTCATGATGGTGACATAAAGCAGAGGTTGGCACACGGCCACATAGCGGTCATAAGCCATGAGGGCTAAGAGGTAGCAATCGATGGAGCCAAAGAAGGTAAACAGGAAAAATTGAGCCACGCAGCGTGCATAGGCTAAAGCAGCCCCATGCTCCAACAGAACGGCCATTGTCTGAGGAACAGTGACAGAGGAGTAGCAGATGTCCATGAAAGAGAGATGGCTTAGAAGGAAGTACATAGGGGTGTGGAGCCGGCGATCCATGCGGATCAAAACAATCATGCCTGAGTTCCCCAGTAAAGTGAAGAGATACATAAATAAGAACAGGTAGAACAGAGGCAGCCCCTGTTCTGGGTGTTCAGTGAACGCTATGAGGAGGAACTCTGTCACCAAAGTGAGGTTTGCCTGGGCCATGAAGTCAGTGATACCTGAGAGAGCATTAGAAGCAAGTCAGGATGCTGCATGCAGGATGTGCTTACAAGTACAGTGTTCACCTTTTAACATATGATGGAACTTTAAACATGGTAGGTCTTAATTCCTTCCTTCAAGGGAGTTCCGTGATAGTCATCCTAGGATACCGAAGGGAAAATAAAACACACGCACACATGTGCCCAACAAGAGAGTGGATAATTCCACTGGCATTACAAAGTAGCTGTGTGAACCCTGCAAATACAGCAGAGTCTTTACAGCAATTTATGGTCATTTTCCTACCATGATGCTGGCCATCTCAGGATTCTGCCGTATTTCCTCAATGGTCCAGCTTCTCCCCTATTTTCAGCCCTTGTCATCTCTTCTCCAGATTCAACCACCATTCCTCATTCTCCCTCATTCCTGACTCAAAGTAACTTCTTACCAATCATTGCCACTGTTTTTAATTTGATAGCAATTAAAATGTTGTTATTTCAGAGGATCTTGTCTCAATCCTCTTCTTTTGGGTACTATGCATATATGCATATCTTTTAGGTTCTTTCCTGTCTCCCAGACTCTCTATCAGTGGAAGTGCAGACTGGCACTATCCTGATCCATGTCTAAAATCCATATATGAGTGAGTATATACCATGTTTGTCTTTTTGCGACTGGGTTACCTCACTCAGGATAATTTGATCATGTCTCACTCATTTGAAATAAATGTAGTCATGGAACCCTGTCAAGAGCAGGAATTGCTTAGCATTCTCAACCTGTTGGTACTATCTATGATAGTTCCCCTACTTACTTCCTTGTTTAACCACCTTCCTTCTCGGTCCTGGCACACACAGAGACACCTCATTTTCCCATAATTTCCACAGATGTACTGAATTATTGGCAGCCTTAATATTCCTCCCTTCACTGATGTGTCTGTGCTTCAAGCACAACTTCTGTCTAGAATATCTTACCTTTCCTGTCCCCAGTGCTTACACTGATTCTCACATCTCAAGTTTTTATAAGAAGCCTCCCTTCATTATTTCTTTACCAGACAGTAAATATCCCCTGGGAATTCATCACTCAGTAATGGCTTACCATATTTTATAGAATGAAGTTATTAAATAAGATGGGAAATACCTTGAAGAAAATCAGTACTGTGACAGTATTCCAGTTACAAAGTCAGAACACATGAGACCAGTACAGCTAATGAAAAATATCAGTGACTAAAGCAAGTTCTTTCTAGGTTTTGTAATTCTGTCTATAACCTTAAAATTTACTACTAAGCAGAAATAAAGTGCTTATTTTTACAAAAATAGGTTTTTATCAGAACAATATTTTCAATATTAAAAAACATTGATATGACATAAGCATTAATTCATTTAATCTTCATGACTTTATAAATGAATGTTCTTTCTGTGGATGAGGAAACTAAGAACACACTTAAGCATCAAGTCCAAGACAACACAGCTAGGAAATGATCTAACTGCCATTAGGCACAAAGATGTACATATGCTAGAAACTGCTTACCTTGTAATTGATTTTACATGATTTCTTGGTTTCTTCCAATAGCTCTCATTTAGGAAATGTCCACCATTAAGTCAAAAAAACTCAAATGGTGAATAGAGTGTAGTTTGGCTAAATTCCAGTGCAGCAGGGCAGGCAAGATGTTAGAAAACATTACAGCATAAATCTTTGATAGCTAGGTTAGTACTGGACCAAGGTACTAGGGAGAATGATAAAGGGAATAAATTCTGGTCATTGGACTGAATATCATCAGTTAAGAGAGCCGGGTCAGTTTGATCATCCGAATTCAAGTTTGGTTTTACCCCAATGATCCTCATTTCTCTTTATCCACTACTTACCCTTAGTCTAAACAAGGTTATTGTATTCCATCTCCCTGGCAAAGAAGTAACCTAATGATATAATGGAGGCTCTACTGCCCTGGGCTATAAGAGGGTTGTTGGTTCCTGTTCATCTACTACAATTTTAGTTATGAGACTGAAAAAGTCTTAGCTCCTCGGAGACCCTTTCTTTCCTAAACACACACACACACACACACACACCATATAAATCAACTAGAGCATAATAATGCCTTAACAGACTCTTATTACAATAATTGTTGAGATTCTTCTTGCCATATGCCATGCCAAAGATTTTTGTTTGTTTGTTTGTTTGTTTGTTTGTTTCCAGAATCTACTATATCTTGCCAGGATGCATTTTTCATCCCGAGAGTTGATCAATTACACATTAGACACAGTCAGCAGAGGCTGGGAACAGCCTTTTCTTATGTACTGCCAACTCTATCACAAACACATTTAAGAGAGGACACTAATTTTGGTTATAAAACTCTGAGATGCCCACAGAGTGTTTAAAATGGTCTCTGAGGAAAGACATCTATTACCTATGTGAATTCTTAACAAGGAACCTGGTCCCTGTCACAGAGGAGAAAATACAGCTGCTCCCCCAGCATCAGGTCCCAATGCCTGACTATTACTCTCATACTCCACAAACAAAAGAAAATCTGCAAACACATCCTTCTTTTAAGGGCATAGGATCAAGAATTATAGGTGTTATGCTTTTATTTTCCATCAACTGCTGCCCTTGTAATGATAATCTAGTTAGTTTAGCTCATATCTATGTTCATTCATTCAAATTAATATATATATGTATATATGTATATATACATTCACAAATACATACATGCATATAAAAAAGCACATTTGCAAAATTTTACAGTTAAAGTGTTAATGCTGTGTTTTTCATTGATTAGATATTTTATTTTTATTTTATATTTATATTAGAAACAAGCTAGTTTCACATGTCAGTCCTGGCTCCCTCTCCCGCCTCTCCTCACCCACCCCACCATCAATCCCCCCAAACCCCCCACGCAGTCTCCACTCCAATCCCCAGGGAGGGTGAGGCCTTCCAAGAAGGATCTCCAGAGTCTGTCATATCATTCATGGAAGGGCCTAGGCCCTCCCTCAAGTGTTTAGGTTGAGAGAGCATCCCTCATTGTAGGATGAGCATGCAAAGTCCATTTGTATGCCAGGGATATAAACTGATCTACTAACCCAAGTCCTATGGATTGCCTAGGCATCCTCATTGACACCCACATTCAGGGGGTCTGGATCAGTCCCATGCTAGCATCTTAGTCATCAGTCTGGGGTCCAAGAACTCCCCCTTGTTCAGCTCAGCTGTTTCTCTGGTTTCACCAGCCCAGTCTTTACCCCTTTGCTCAGCTCATCACTCTCCCCTCTCTGTCACTGGGTTCCACAAGTTCAGTTCAGTGTTTAGCTGTGGGTGTCTGCCTCTGATTTCTTCTGTCACTGGATGGAGGTTCTAGGATAGCATATAAGATAGTTGTCAAACTTATTATCAGAGAAGCACATTTAAGGTATTCTCTTCACTATTGCTTAGTTTTCCAGTTGGTATCATCCTTGTAGATCCCTGGAAATCTCACTAGTGCCAGATCTCCCCTTAAACCTAAAATGCTCTCTTTCATCCTGCTCTACTCTATTCTTCCCCCGATTCAACCATCCAGCTCCCCCATGTCCTCCTCTCCCCTCTTCTTCTCCCCCTCTCTTTGTCCCTCCCCTCTCTCTGCTCAGGAGATCTGGTCTCATTCCACCTTCTCTGGGGTACCATGTATATGTCTCTTAGGGTCCTTCCTGTTTCCCAGAGTCTCTGGCAGTGGTATTGTAGGTACTCCCCTGATTCATGTCTAAAATCCATATATGAGTGAGTACATAACATGTTTTTCTTTTTGTGACTGGGTTAACTTCACTCAGGATGGTTTTTTTCTAGTGCTGTTTATTTGCCTGCAAAATTCAAGAGTCCATTTTTTCCCCTGAGTAGTACTCCATTGTGTAAATGTACCACATTTTCTCTATCCACTCTTCAGTTGAGGTGCATCTAGGTTGCTTCCAGTTTCTGGCTATTACAAATAGTGCTGCTATACACATATTGGAACAGGTAGATCCCAGCTCAACAGGATTCAGCCCACCCAGAGATTGCCAGCTCCCAAGTCCCATTCTCCACCCACAGGACAGGAGAGGTGAGGCCAGCCTAACTTCTGGTGGCATAAGCAGAAGCACTGGAGACCTGAGGACTTTGTGCAGTGGGGATCCCAGGCTGATGGGATTCAGACCACCCAGCGAATGCCAGCTTCCAAGTCCCAACAAAAACAAACAAAAAAAATTCATGAAAATGATAGAGGCCTTCAAAGAACATATGAGAAAAACCCTTAAGGACATGGAAAAAAAAGCAAACCAAAAAATACAAGAAATGGAGGAAAAAACCAATCCAAAAAATGCAAGAAATAGAAGAAAACACAAACCAAAAAATTCAACAAATGCAAGAAATAGAGGAAAATACAAAGCAAAACTTACAAGAAACAATTCAAACAGTGCAAGGGTTGAAAGCTTAAACAGAGACAATAAAAAAATACAATCTGAAGGAAGGCTGGAAATAGAAAAGCTGAGCAAATGGTCAGGTACTATAGATACAAGCATAACCAACAGAATACAAGAGATGGAAGAGAGAATCTCAGGTATTGAAGAAACACTATGAAAAATTGATTCATCAACCAAAGAAAATCTCTTTTTTTTGGTTTTTATGAGACAGGGTTTCTCTGTATTGTTTTCGAGGCTGTCGGTCCAGCCCAGCCTCGAACTCACAGCGATCCGCCTGCCTCTGCCTCCCGAATGCTGGGATTAAAGGCATGCGCCACAACTGCCCGGCTTAACCAAAGAAAATCTTAAGTCCAACAAATCCCTAACACAAAGTATCCAGGAAATATGGAACACCGTGAAAAGACCAAACCTAAGAATAATAGGTATAGAAGAAGGTGAAGAAATCCACCTCAAAGGGACAGAAAGCATATTCAACAAAATCATAGAAGAAAACTTTCCCAACTTAAAGAAAGACATGCCAATGAAAGTACAAGAAGCCAACAGAACACCAAATAGAGTGAACCACAAAAGGAAGTCACCTTGCCACATAATAATAAAAAC